TAAGAATGCCGAGATGGAGAAGAAGAACAGTTAGAGGTTAAAAGCAGTTTTGAAGAGGTGTGTTTGAGGGATTTCTTGAAGGTGGAGAGTGAGGGGGAGTCTGTGATGTCTTTAGGGAGTGAGTTCCAGAGGGTGGGAATGGTAATAAGGAAGCCCCGCCGAGTGATGGCTTTTGCTTGATACATCATGGAGCCGACTGTTTACATTTCACTACATGGATTCTATGTATGTGACAAATAAAGCCTGAACTGAACTGAACTGGTGGGGATGTGTAACTGAATGTCATCAGAAAAGCAGTGAAACTGAAGTCCATGTCGGCAGATTATTTAACTAAAGGGGAGAAAGTACAGGATGAGGTGCAGGATTTTGAGAACTGAACCTTGGGGAGCACCTTGGGAGAGGGGAGCAGTGTGGGTCTTGTAGTTGTTTATGCTAATAAACCTATATCTGTCAGAGAGGTAGGAATTGAGCCAGAAGATCGCAGTGTCAGTGATGTTGAAAGCGGTTTCAAGGTGGGACTTAAGGATGGAATGGTTGATGATGTTACATGCAGTAATCAATAATCAAAAGTTCTAAGTGACAACAAATGGTGAACATAGGTCCTGGACAGCCTATTTAGCATAACATTCTGATTTAATCTACTGGCCCATTTGGCTTAGCTTCTCAAAGACTGTCCTCCTGGGTGAGTAGTTCAAAGACTGTGCTGTATTGAAAATGGAAAAAGTCATCTGTCTCAAGACCCCAATGATAAAGTGAATGAACATTGAGTAAATGTATAAGGGAAAAGAAGAACTGTACTGCACCAGGGCTAGGTATCAAATGTTAGCACTTCTTGATAACCAAAATGTGTCTGCAACACAAAGTAATAATAGTTTTTCCTATCCTATCCTTAAGTATGGAACATTGTTAAGTTCAGAAAACTGGCACTAAATGTGTCCCCCATTTGTAATCTTGTTTATTTATTTCATTCAATATCAGGCAGTTCCTAAATTAAATAAAAAATTGATAATTTTAGACTTAATTAAGACAAAGTTAGTGTATGGCTGCCTGTGTTTAGACAAGATTAAACATTTGAGAATGATGGCTTCTTTTGTGTCATAAAGAATCAAAGATTTGTAGTAAAATGTTTTTAATTATTAAAGGCAGAATGAGTAGGATTTGTGGGTTTGAAACAATAACATTTAAACTGGCTCCTCCTCCCTATGCATATGATCTGGCACCTAGTGGCTACATTTTTATAGAGTCAGATCCTTACATCCTGTACGCTCTTATTGGCTGAGAGCTACACACCACTGCCCTTAGGTTGATGCCCAAAAATGACTTAAAGGATCTGTTGTTTTTTTAACTCTCTTTAAATGAAACCACACCCACTTTTGCATGACATAAGCGAGCTGCCAGACATCAGGCCTGATGATTGGCTGTCAGCCTCCTGCTAGCTCCATTGAAAGAGACTGCAGCTGACTACTTAGCTAGCCAACACATTTTCACTCCGACCTCGTCTCATATCGACATTTGGTCATGGACTTTGTATGTCGGAATATGACGTGCGAGGTACCCTGGGTGCGTTGGTTGTTGACATTCTGGGACACCATGTCAACTTCAGTCTGTTACATGAATTGTCTGCTTTCAAAAAACACTTCCGTTTTCACAGGAAATGTACAGTGTGCATACAGTCTCTTCCAAAATAAACACACTACGTTGGTACAACAACACAATTTGATGCTTTTTTTCTTCAGCAACAAACGCACATGGTTACGTTTAGCCAACACATTGGTTGGGTTTAACAAAAAAGAACATGGTTCATCTTAACAATCATACAGGAAGCAAACACCAGCCTGCTGGGTGTAAGTCTGTTGTTGTTTGACCCATCCACCACCGCTTCCACGCACCCTACTCGGATTTTTCACCCCCTTAACTTGCAATGTTGTCCATCTGTGTCTCCCCTGATGCCGCCAGGCAGCATTACACAATAATGGCGATCAGCTGCTATAATGCTGACTTGAAAGGACAGCTTTTTTTGTTGGTGTCTCACGCCAGAAGTCACTACCCAAACGCCGGTATTTGACAACTTCGGTGTGAGACCAGGTTTAGCTGCTGTACCAGTGGATGTACCCCGTGGTCCATCTGCCTCAGTCCCCACCGCTGTGAGACTATAAAACCTTTAAGTTCCCACAGGGAGTAAGAGGGGTGTCAAACACCGTTCAACTGCACACACTGTAAAGACACAGTGCTGGTTGAAAATTGGAAAAATTTCCCTTTAATAGCTGTAGCAACTTTAATTCAGCCAACAACATAAACACGGGGTGGCATACACTTGTAAACAAGACACATAGATACATAGAGGAAGTAAAGGGGCTCAAGGGGACCCAATGTCCTGCCTCTAAGGAGAGGGATGAGAGGGGGTGGATTTCCTTTTTTGGCAAGGCTGGTGTTCAAAGCCACTGATGGGTGCTGGACATTCTGCGTGCCACAGCGGTAGGCTGGCAGCCAATCATCAGGTCTTGACTTCCTGAATACAGCAAAATAAGAAAGGCAGAGGACAAAGTCTCTGCAGATACAGACACCACCACTGAGAGTGCGTCAGAAGTGATGATTGGGAGGAAATAGTTTTGCATGAGTCTATACAGTGTCTTTTTTAGGAAAGTCCTACTCATCCTGCCTTTAACAGAAGGCATCAAGGTGTGTGTGTGTGTGTGTGTGTGTGTGTGTGTGCGTGTGCGCGTGCGCGTGTGCGTGCGTGCGTGTGTGTGCGCGTGCGCGTGTGAGTCATCATCTCTTCCTGCAATTACAGTCAATAGTTCTGTGCTTTGTTGCTTATGGCTCAGCAGTCTTGATGCTGACAATGATCACTTTTTCTGTTTAGTTTCTTTGTATTTGTATTTGTATCACCATCTCCTATGTGTGTGTATGTCTCTATTAGTCGATGCATGCAAACCTTCTGCCTTTCTGTCCGTGCTGTAAAAAGAGATCCCAGAGGAAAATAATATTAATGATACAGCTGACAGAAGCTCAAAGGACATTATTTCCATGCCACAGATACTGTGGAGGATGACAGAATTCTACAGACAGAGGCTGAGCTCTACATACTGCTACTCATATTTAATATTGAGTGACACTGATAAACATAATTAAAAAACGGTTTTGCCTGCCTTATAAATGATATTGATCCAGGCTGGAACGTAGAGTAACTATCAGTCAAGATTGTGTTTCTTTTCTTCTCACGTAGTATCAAGTGTTTTCAGAGTGAAAGGAGAAATAAAGCACTTTGACAAAAAAGATTTGCCACATCTTCCCTGGCTTTGTTAACATTATGTCACATAGTGTGGGTTTGTGCAGGACAGTAGGCCTACACCAGACATGTGACTCAAGTCATTTGGTTCAAGTCTTAAGCAAGTCCCAAGTCATCTTTTCTTGAGCAAGTCAAGTCAATTCAATCACAGCTTATGTCAAATGAAGTTGCGTTTTTAGTTTATGCAAGTCAGGTCCTAAGTTAAAATCTTCACGGGATACCTCTCTATTTCCATTTATCAGTCTAGAAAGTTTTGGTGTGAGTTGCAGATTATTCTCTTGCATCAACTGCCAGCTCACCCACTGAGCAAGCTAACAGCTTTTCACTCATGTTTACATCCTGTGCTGTCTCGAGCCTCTCGTCCATGAGTAGATGCACCCTTCCCTCTGCATGGTGATGTTGTTGATGGGTGTAGTTCAGTAGAGTAAAAATAGTTCCTACATTAAACTGCTCACAACAAGGTGTCTGACATTGCTGTTGAGTTTTTCAAATGTATTTTTGGGCACTTTGAGCTCTACAAGCTGAGTGCCATCTAGTTCAATTATATTGGAGAAAAGGCAGACATGTCTACGGCCGATATCTCCAATACCCAGAAACTCACACTAAAACTTATCTAGACTGGTAAATAGCACTGCAGGTAAGAGGAGAAATATGTATTATTGAATTGGGGGTGAACTGTCATTTTAAGGATTTCCTGACACTTACATAAGATATTGAAAACAGTATCATTTTGGCATGGAAAAAAAAAACTCTGTAATAGTATCAGAAATACAATCAGGTGTGGTTTTTCTAAGGTGCTTACATTCAGTGAAATTACTGCAATAAATTAAGTTACTGTAGTTCACTATTACTTCGGTTGTGTACACCAAGCAAACAGGCCAAAGGTACTCAGAGCGAGGAGGTGTACAGGTCACAGAGCAAGAGTCTTTTAATCGATGGTTTGGTGGTTTCGTAAGGCCCATTTCAGCCCCACAGGGCCCCATCAGCAAACTGACACTGTCTCTGTAAACCCAGTCAGGACTAAGTTCCTATTTGCAAAGTAAAGTCCACTACGTTATTTCAGCTGTGTCAGGCTTTTTATCCTAACAGCCAATCAGAGGAGGATATTGTGGTTGTGTCCAGCTCTTCCTGCTTCTGCATCAGCCTGTCCGAGGCTGCAGCTCCTAGTTTTAGTCTCGAACTAAAAAGCAAAGCTTACAAGCAAGCATGTTTCACCTTCCTGCAGTTATCTTTTTGGTTTACTTGTCACTGGAGGGAATCAGTGCTCAGCTCAAACAGCAGACTGTGAGTGTTCAGTTAGCTGGGAACAACAGTGGACTTGAAGCTGTAGAGGGTAAAAATGAATTGTTGTGTCAACTCTCATCATCTCCATAGTGTAAATGTCTTTTAGAAAGCCACGACAACAGCACTTATTCTTTCCATTCATTGTTTCCTAGCTTACCTACTTAGCATGAAAGGTAATTTTGATGTTATGTCTTGAACCATGCTCACCAAGTCTTACCTTCATTCATCTCTATGTGACAGTTTATTTCTGTGTGTTTTTGATGAAGATGTAAACCTTCAGTCCATTAATGTTGTGATTTTGGGTCGACGTTGTCCTCATGTTCCACGTTGGTCCATCTTTGACCTTAATTTGCGCTTCTTTTCATATTTATCAGGGGTTGTGTATCCCATCTAATCTAACATTCCTATGTTTCCCTTTGTCTCTCAGCTCGTAAGCAGGAGATCATTAAAGTCACTGAGCAGCTGATCGAAGCCATAAACAACGGCGACTTTGAAGCCTACACGTCAGTTCAGCTGGTTTAATTTACTTATACCTCAAATACCTACCTGTAAAAAGAAATCTTCCCACTGTTCCATGACTCTAACACGGCTGTCTGGTGTATTTTTTTAGGAAGATATGTGATCCTGGACTCACGTCCTTTGAGCCTGAAGCCCTGGGAAACTTGGTGGAGGGCACTGACTTCCACCGCTTTTACTTTGAGAATGGTAAGGAATTAGTGTTGCAGATGGTGAGCTGCACTCTTTGGTTTTGCTAGTGTTCAATAGCACCTTCAGAATTCCCAGATGTGCACCTAAATCATTCTTGCAACTCTGGTTTGAGTCCGAGCTGATTGACTAAATGTTCAGTTTCGCCTTAGAGACAATGCTCTAAGGAGCTGTCACACTAAGTCTTATAGAGTTTTAAATTGTAAGACTCTCCTGAGTCTCCTCTTCTACCCACTCTCTATGTTTCATGTTCTTCTCCTCTGCAGCTCTGTCCAAGGGAAAGCAGCCCATCCACACTATCCTGCTCAACCCCCACGTCCACCTCATCGGGGACGAGGCTGCTTGTATCGCCTATATCCGCCTCACCCAGTACATCGACAGCAACGGCATGCCTCGCACCATGCAGTCAGAGGAGACCCGCATCTGGCATCGCCGCGACAGCAAGTGGCAGAACATCCACTTCCACCGCTCCGGCTCACCCACCGTGCCCACCAAGTAAGGCCACCACTTCCTACCCTGCGTGTCTCTATGTCCATCCCAGAGACGTGGTTCTTTGCTCTTTAGGAACCTACTGGCTGCAAATTTTTCTAGAAAAACATCTAATATTCCCTGTTTTATAAGCATATTCTATCCTATTTTCACAAGATTTTCCAGATCTGCTCGGTTAATTTGCTATTGATTCTGTAGCATAAATGTATTAGAAGGTAACAACATATAGTATGGCGCAATCCCAATACATCCCTTGCCCCAACACTGAGCCCCCACTCCTCTGTTGTGCTCGTTCACGTGCAGGGATAGGGTGTTCTGATTCTTGTTGGGATGGAGGAGTAGGGTAGATTGTTAGGGCTACTTGGCCCTCCAATCAGAGTTTTTTCAGAGGCACACTCCATACAGAGTGTTAAGAGATATCTAGAGATAGAGATGGCTGCACGAGCAACAACAAAAAAAAAGCCACAAATGTTATTAAGAAGTTACAGTAATCATCATATTATTTTACTTTAATGTTGTTTTTTTTCAATATATTATGCCACAGTTATAACAGTTGGACAGCTGCTTATTCATTTACATCATAGTCTGTGCAGGGCCACACTCTTCTCTGGTCAATTGCACAAAGTTTTCGGGGACATGTTATAATGGCTTGGTTAAAATTATCCACCAAGTTTGCTGATGTTTGTACAAAAGGTCATTGGTTTATGGCCAAGTTTAACAAAAAACCAGTGCACTTGTTTGGAACTGGTGGCATCACCTATTGAGCGACTTGAAAATTATTTTACACACTTGGTAAAACATTATTATTCAACATATCCTGAAAGTTTTGGACAATCAATTCTAATATGTCTAATTAATTTCCATTTTTGCATTTGAAGCACCTGATCTAGTGGTTGATTTGAATGAAACTCTCAGGGTATGTTGCTGGTACCTTTCTGCAAGTTTTGTGATGATTGGCTCAACGGTTAAGGAGTTAGGTCTATTTATGTGCTGAGCTACTCCCCCTCTAGAGTTCATTGGGCAATATCTTCAAAACAAATTGATATATCAACATACCTTTGATTACTGTTTATGAGCTTCATCCAATATGATTTACAGAAAATTTGGTACAAATCGGAAATGTGATTTATGAGATTTAAATGATGTGTTTTTCGAAAAAGTCAAAATGCTGAAAAATGTTCTCAGTGGGACCTTACTGGTTCTGGTGGCTTTCTGGTAGAACACATTGAGCCACACTTGTGTGTCAAATTTCAAGTCAATAACACTTACAAGGGGTTTTTTTGGGGAGTTTTTCCTTATCCGCTGCGAGGGTCATAAGGACAGAGGGATGTCGTATGCTGTAAAGCCCTGTGAGGCAAATTGTGATTTGTGATATTGGGCTTTATAAATAAAATTGATTGATTGATTGACTTACAGTGCAAGGGATGTGGCCTTTCCAAAACTGGCCGTAATTATAGTGGCCCCATCTGGCTGATTGACATAATATTTCTTGAGCAGCATTTGCACACAACTTCCAATAACTGGTTTCATGTGTCTATGATGTACCATCTCACGGAATTTGCAAAAACATTTCTGAATAATAGTAATGAATTAGCACAAAAATGATGTGGTTTCAGCTCTTCAGGCTTGAACCCCTATAATACAATAGAGCTCCAACAGTGAGTGACACTGCTTGGACCCCTGAATATTTGACAAAGTAAACAAAGCTCAGAGCTACAGGACAAAATGAAGTGGGGGGGTAAATTCAAATGTAGTGGTCATTGTTTGGAAAGGCTTTTTATTAATGAATGAATCCACATGTTTTGTGTTTCAGTTGAGAGGACCATATTTGACTACAATCATCCTCCAGCCTACAACAAACCCTGCCTACCAAGTGTCCATCAGATTCCTCAGCCAATCCCTGCCCTCCATAGCTAGAGCTCCGCCCTCTCAGTGTGTTGTTTACATATTGTCGCTGCTGGACTGAAGATTGTTGTACATTTTAAGAAAACAACAAAACAAGGGGGAAACTTCAAGTCTTGACAATATCATTTTGTAGTGAGAGTGTGTGTTGTTCATCGGGCAAGGTTTTTTTTAGGTCAGTATGTTTTTAATAGCGGTGGTTTTTTAGAGGATGCAGATGTTCCAGATGATTCATTTTTAATAGGGTGATGAAATATGTGAAACTTCCAGTCATTGTGTAGTGACAGATTTTCATTTGAATATTGCACATGTTTAGGAGCTGTTGTGATGTTTTCGCCTTTTCGGCATGATGACCAATATATCACATATCTGCTTTTTACTAATTTATCTTTTCAGAGCTGCCATCTATTAATGCTCAGGCACAAGCTTGCTTTTGTTTTGGTTATGTATAAGTTTTGGTAATTGATGTAAATGGCTTTTCTCTCTTTGCTTAATCTTTAGCAGTATTGATATGAACTGAGTTGGCTAATTTTATTAATCTGTTTTCTGGTTTGCCATTGGCACCCAGTATGTTTACTAGGAATTTGAACTACATGTTTGAAAGGGAAACTCAATTGAAACGTGTTCTATTTAGTCTGTTTGGACCTCCATCATCACAGGGCAGCATATGAAAAAAGTCTCTTATGATAGAATGTAAACCATAGACAAATATATAATTCTTAAAGGCCATTCTGTGACTCTTTGCAGTCAGATCATATTTTCATACAGTAAGGAACTAATTATGTGAATTTTATCAGCTATTTTATTGTGTTTACTTTTTATATTCTAATATGGATATAAGTGGATGCCTGTCCCTCCACTTGTCATTATCAGTGCTTTCCTTTAAGCCCTTTAAACCTTGATTGAGTCCCACCTTTATTCTGTCCAACTGGTGTACGCCAATGCTTTACAGCACCATGTTTTACACTGGACAAAGTAGTCATGACATTGACACTGACAGGAAAGCTGGATTCAGCTGAAACCTTTGCTTCTGCAACTTATTTACCTGTTCATTTTGCCATGAGGAATTTGATTCTTGACCAAATCACAAAGCAGTTAATCACCATTCTAGTTCTTATGTTACTCTATAATGTTATTTTAGTGTCACTGATGAATTAAAGGGAAAGGGGTTTTTTGGCATCACTTGCAGCAGATTCATATCTTAAGGTTTGAATTTTAAAACACAGAATTAAAATGACAGTGGGGGAAAAAAAGAATAGGGGGGAATAATACCAGAATGAAAGCATGGGGAAAGGTTTATGATTCCATTTGTGTAAAGGATATTGAGATTTTTGTTTTGTTTTGGGTTTTTGCTTAGAAAATTGTTTACACTCTTTTGTTTAATCACATTTGTCCCACACCACACTTTGTTTTTATCTTTCTAAGATGCATTGAAATTCCTGATGGGACTCTGGTATGTAATGTTACCATGATGAAACAAGCCTGATGTATGTTTTAGTAATATCAAATAAAATTGTGTGATTTATGCCAAATGAGACTTGATTTGTTCTTTCATTTTGTGTCCTGTGTGTATTTACCAGTGGTGGGAATCGCCAGAGAACCCACAATACAATATTATCACAATACTTAGGTCTCAATACGATACTGAGATATATATATGCTGAGTATTACCATAAAATATATTGAGATTTTTTTTTTTACCTATTTTTCCCAACTGCAAATGATTTCCCCAAAGGAAAGTTGTCAACATCAGTTTCACCTCCTAAGATAAAGTTTTCAGTCTGTTCATCTGACTTTTTTTTTATTGCAGCAAAATGTGATGCAAAGCAATGAACTGACCAATGCCATCAAACCTGTAAGAATGTTAGAAGCCTCTGTTAAAGCCACAATTCCCAATTCTTGTGCTGCATTTTGCAGGAGGTCTGCAATGTTTGCTTTGGTGGGAATTTCGTGTACTGCTCTAGTTTGGACAACGTGAAACAGCTGTCACCAGTTCTCTGTGAGATAATCTACCTTCATAGTCACATACAAATCCACTGACCTTGAAGTCCAGCTTGGGTTCCAGTATTTTAAGCATGTAACAAGAGCCTTTGTTTTCAGCAACACTGTATGGACACATATCCTTGCTCATGAAGTAGGTGATGGACTGTTAGTTTCTTAGCTCTCTCAGAGATGGATGATAGTTTTGTCCAGCTATGTGTGTCCAGTGTTGGTTGGTTTTTGGTAGAGTGGGTTTAGAGTTAGCTTGGCTGTCAGCGGCTAACGCTATCTCTGGATGGTGGAGTGTGAGGTGAGCCCTCATGTTCATAGTATTCCTAGAATATTTTATTCTCATATGACACTGCTTGCAAGTTGAGTGTCATATCCAAGTCCTTCTTTCCTTTTGTGTTAAAAAGTCCAGACATTTGATTAAAATTACGTAAGCGCATTTCTGATATTTTTTTCTCCAGTGCCTCCATCTTGGTTTTGGGGAACCTACTGCCAAATGCTACTCACTGAGACCTCTGCTGACCTCACCAGGAAAAAAACAAAACATCAGCACCATCTAGCGGACCGAAAAAGTAATTCCTAAAACCTGGAAATGAGCAACCCAGTTCCCGCGTCTTAGTGTCAGTGGGTTTTTTTTTTAACGGGTTTTTGGCTAGATGCCTGAAATAAGCTCTGTGTTAACACAAGGTTAGGAAACTTTGACATTTTGCTCTGCAACATAAAATACATCAGTAAATACCGCACCGCTTCTATGTGTCTTTGAAAAGGTGGTTGCTACCAAGTGTACACATCACTGACAGTTCACAGTTATGGTTTAACTGCTAAAATTCAAGCTGCACACGAAACCCTCTTGGAATATGCTCTGTGCAAGTTTTATGATGAAAAATGAAAAAATTACTCCTCCATAACCTCACAAGTCAGTCTGGACGTCACCCTCTGTCAGCACCAATTAGCTTAACTCCTTCCAGCAGCTGTTAGAAAGAATGACATCACTTCACACTGGACACATGTACAGTTTTATTGTTCTGCCATGTACACACCGCAGCTGCTATGCCTTTTTAGCATTTCAGGTTTATTTTTTTTAGTAATAATTTGATAAAGTTATACATGCCCGTATAGATATTTGCACTGTTAATATGTATATATTGTTATCCATGGAAACAAGATGCTCATATATCAAATCAATGGTCTCTTTTTGACATTTCTTTTATTCTTCCATTGGATCACACACAAAGTAAACGGCAACTTAAGGATTGTATTGTTACATAGATAAAGTCTCAACAGTAGATGAACACCAAACACACTTTATCAGCCTGTACACAATCCAACCAGCTCTCACATCAAATCCTGGTTGTCTACCATGGCAAAAAAAAAAAAATCTTTATTTTTCTTTACTTTTAGCTTCAGAACACATCCAAACACACACGCACACATACACACACACACCACTCTCAGCTTCAACTGCTGGAGTACACAGGGATCACAAATGGACGACAATAAATAAATAAGGATGTACATATATGTGATGGCTAAAGTCAGTGAAAGTTGGCTTTTGCTTAGATTTGAGGTTGATGTGATAATCCTTTGATAACAGTGATAACAAGAAAAAGTTAAATCAACAACAGCAACTGAAGCAAAGGATCTCTATACTATGTGTGGTATCCAAGAACTTAAAGAATATGTCTGGTATTATTTTATTGTTGTCAACAAACCCCATAAAAAGGTCCATACTAACAATGTTAGTCCGTCTCTCAACACTTCCTGACTTCCTACCCTGACTGTGTCTCTCAGCTCCAAGCCCATTGGTTCCTAAATCTTTAAAAACACCTCACAAATATTTGCTTTCATGATTTAAAAGTCATCTCCTTCAACAGCTGATCACTTGTTACACAAACAGGAGGAAATAGCACTATTAACAGCATCATACTGATGACCATGTTTTGTTGCTTTGTTAAGTACTTCGGACAGCAGGGCAGTGTATGTGGATTGACATATAACAAATGACAATGGTCATGTCAGTTCTCTTCATCAGCCCCTCCAGGATGTTCTGATGTTGCAATTTTTCCAATCATTGTAATTTCCCACGAGTCATTAAACCCACTTTCTTGTGTCTTGTTGTGAAGACACTGACATGTGCGATGTAGACGTCTCACATTTACCAACAAAAATTTCTGCTTAAGACTGTGCAAGGCAGTTCATTGATGCACTGTGCGAAAGTGGGGCCTTTGGTTTTTAATTAATCATCCTCCTTATTCCTGAAGGCACTACTGTTAAAATGATTATGGGTGCAACTCCCGGTGAGGAAGTGGAAGTGGAAGCTCGTTAGTCACATTGATTATGGTTAGTCCCTGGCTAAACTTGGCAGATGAGTAGAGCATTAGCTGTCAAACTTTTCGTTTATTCACCTCACATAGTGCTAAAATTAATACAGAATTATGTTAGATGTTCGCTGAAATGTTTTAATGTCTGTATATGACCTGTAAGAAATCAGAAATCATCTTTTAGAAGGAGCAGAGATTAATTAACATAGCAAGGCAAGCTATTTGCTAACATGCTTTTTTAAAACAAAAAAAACAACCAATGCTTTGAGATGACTATCAGAGATGACAGACGTAATACCACATTATCCAGTCTGAGGTGCAACAGATGTTCCACATGTATTATTTCCCATTCGCTCTACAAAAGAGGATTAGCATACTGTTCGTCGTATTGTTACCATTGGAAAATGCCAGCTCCGGTTCAGCATCAGAAGTCGCACCTATAGTTGCAAGATATCAAGTTGCAAGGTATTATGGCGGCTAGGAATAGGGTGGATAAGAAAATTTAAAAAATGCAAAACTTATTATTCTTATAATAAAAAACTTAAAACTTAATAAAAAAACAACAATCTTGAAATAAAAAAGCCTCTGAAATCTTGGAGGGACTGTAACTCTAACTAATGTAATTAAGTTTTAGTTACTGACAATGTGGGGAAACCAAAGAAATTAGGTTTTGTTAGGTTAGGTTTTATAAAAATCTATGAAGTCTGTGAGCTGAGCAGGAACTCGTGGGTGGGGCCAGCAAGAGGAACACTACTGTGCAGACCTGCATACCACAGATATGAGGCTAGAATTTTTTTGGCATATGCACCAGGCAAGCAATTTCATTGGAATGAATGGGTGACATTGTGGTGTCTGGTATGTAATTATTATTATGCGTCTATGTTGTAAACTGACTGAGATCTGAAAGAGGTGAGGTGCACCTTTAAAACTTAACCACTCATTTTAACTGAACCTGTTCATGGTAATAAAGGAACATAGTTTTTAGACAGCAATGGAGCTCTATGGCCAACACATTCTCACTCCGACCTCATCACAAATCGACGTTTGGTCATGGATCTTTCCACATCGAGATATGATATACATGGTACCCTTGCTGTGTTGGTTCCAAGATGCCCATCCTACTGTCTTGGAGGATGTTCTAACCAACCTCATCAGGCAATTGGCTGACATGTGAGGGTTGTTGCCTTGATTGAGCTCAGCTGGGCTTTCTAGGCTATAAAAGCTGCCTCATGTTTTCACTTGATCTCTCTCCTCCTGCAGCAGACATCCATCATTGCTTTTGGTTTGCACCTTCAACATCTCCACAGTACACATGACACACTTCCATGCATGGTTTCATTACTGACTTTGCTAACCCACACACTCCATTGGTTATTTGAGTTAATCTTAGTTTGATAAATTATGCGTGTTTTAACTAAATCTTTTGTGTGGACTCCCTACTTGTCACATTCATTAAGCCAGTTTGTGACATGATGGGACGCCATGTCAACTTCAGCCTGTTACATGTATTATCTGTTTTCAAAATACACGTCCATTTTCACAGGAAATGTACAGTTTGCATACAGTCTCTTTCAAAATAAACTCACTACGTTGGTACAACACTGTGAACTGAGGATGAACATTTTGCCAATACACACGTGGTTGGATTTAGGAAAAAAGAACAGGGATTGGCTTTACAATCTTACGGAATGCGAACACCTGCCTCACTGACTTTCACAGGTGAAAGTCAGTGGTTATTTGACCCACCCACCACCCCTCCCGACCGCCCTACTCGGAGTTCCGCCCCTTGAACTTTTATTGTTGTCTCACCACATTTCCCCCTGATGCCAGTGGACGCTGTTAACCAATAACAGCAACCGACCCTGTATCATGCCAACGTAAAAGACAGCTTTTTTGTCTCTATCTGATGCTGGAGGTCACTGACCAGGTGGCAGGTATTCGATGGCTTCGGAGTGAGACCAGGATGCTATGGCGCAGAGGAAGAAGATACGTATATCAGGTACCTGTCAGTATGTCGATTAATTGGTGATATGGCTCTGCACATGAGATTTGTTGACAAGAAGAAAATATAGCCAGCTTTATCCTTTAAAGGCTCTATGGAGGACAATTCTATGAAAGCGGCTGCAGTATGAGGCGAAGAGAAGCAGCACATGACAACGGAGGGTGAACAGATAACAGTAGGTGCTCCATCTGCATCAAAACATTCCTCATCACTTCTTTCTTTCTCAAAAGACACACTGTATATATACACACACACACACAGAAGTGGCAGCTCTGTGACCAGATCAAATGTGAATACACAACACACATTAGAAGGACAGACACTTAAAAACAAAAAAGGGCAGATGCATCATGGGAAGACAAAAGGTGTGATCACACAGCCTTTGTAAACAGATCAGCAGGGTGATGTTTGGCTGTATAAAGAGTCCATGGTGATGCACACATTCACTCTTCCCAAAGTATTCTCTATGTAACATTAATCTCATCTGTACGGTGGCCATTCTCCAGCTGAATTGGTGCATGTACAGCAGGTTTAGGTGGGCTAATGTATTAAATGCTTTCAATTTATTTTTCCCCCCTCAGTTCAAGCATGACTTTTTTTTCATCCCCTCTATATACAAATCTTTAGAAGAGTTCTTCAAGAAGAGGCCCGTGCGTGAGGGAAAGTGTCCAAGATGTCCCCTTTGACTTTGATTCACCTTTGGTGTGTCTTCCGTAATCACACCACAGCAGCCGAAAGGTCAACACAAAAATCATCATCCAACAAAAACGAAGGGTGCCATCTTTGGTCACAATGAAACACAAAAGTAGGAAGGAAGGAAGGAAGGAAGGGAGGAAGGGTGATAAAGCATGAAAATACTGTTCCATTATTGACAAAAAAAGACAAAAGAAAAACTTGAATCCAGTGATCAGCGAGAACAATAGGAAGGGGATGTGAAACATCAAAGGCTTCAATGGAAGATGTAGGGAGAAGATTAGTGGAAGCAGCTGCTCAGTCAAAGCTCTCCTTCTCCTCCTCCTCATCCTCCTCCTCTTCCTCCTCTTCCTGGTCATCCTCACAGTAGTGTTGGAGCAGTCGGTGCAGGTGCTGCTGCAGTGCATCGGGCTGCAAGGCGTCTAGGTTGTCGTCCAGACGCTCCAGGTGCACGTGCTTCCCCTGGGCATCCCTCACCACAGTCCTCTTCTGGGTTCGCAACTTACGCATCTGGCTTCTGCAGGAACAAAACAAAGAGTTACACCGCATCCAGACTGACTTTGATGGACCATCATTTAGTCATATTTACAGGCATGGACTGACCACATACTGGTCATCCTCAGGGTCACTCTCTTAGGTGTTAAATGGGCCAAATTTCACTGGTCACTATCGCTGACTATGGAAATCCAGGACTGCCAATATTAAAATTACATACATCTAATTTGCCCTCATGTACAATACAACATTAAAATGCAAAGATCCCATTCTTATTTTTCTTATTGAAACTGCATGGTTAAATAGTTACATGACATTCCAGACATTACCAAAACATATTTTGTGAGGTCACAATGACCTTGACCATTGACCTTAAAATTGTAATTACTTCCACTTCACTCAAAGTGGATGTTTGTGCCAAATTTGGAAAAACTCCCTCAAGCTGTTCTTGGGATATCGCTTTCAAAAGAATGAGATGGCTGCAAGGTCATGGTGATCTTGACCACCAAATTCTAATCAGTTTATCCTTGAGTCCAAGTTGACTGTTGGGGCCAAATTTGGGAAAAAAAATCCCTCAAGACCTTCTTGAGGAATCATGTTCAAGAAATGAGACATACACTGGCTCACAGTGACCTTGACCTTTGACCACCAAATCATAATCAGTTCATAATTTAGTCCAAGTAGATTTTTAAGCCAAATCTAAAAAACAAAAAAAAAACAAAAAAAATCCCCCAAGCTGTTCTTGAGATATCGCTTTCTAAAAAATTAGATGGATACAAGGTCATGGTGATCTTGACCTTTGACCAGCAAATTGTAATCAGTTTATCCTTGAGTCCAAGTTGAACGCTTGTGCCAAATTTGGAAAAAAATCCCTCAAGCCTTCTTGAGATATCACATTCATGAAATGAGACATACACTAGCTCACAATGCCATTGACCTTTAACCACCAAATTAGTCTCAGTTCAGTCCAAGTAGATTTTTAAGCCAAATCTAAAAAAAAAAATCCCTCAAGGTATTCTTGAGATGCTGCCCTCATGAGAATGTGCCAGACTGGGTCTCAGTAGCCTTAACCTGTGACCACCAAGTTCTGATCAGTTCATCCATGACTCAAAGTGGATATTTGTGCCAAACAGGCCTGGGACAATCAGTGATCAAATCATATATTGGCGATAAGAGGGCTGCCAGGCGATTTGCTGGATATCAAGGTGATTTTGGAAAGAACACAACTGCCGCCTTTGCAGGTTACTGTTAATTTATTATGTTGATCTGTTCTGTACAACATCTATTGCTCGTCTGTCAGTCCTGGAAGAGGGATCCCTCCTCAGTTGCTCTTCCTGAGGTTTCTACCGTTTTTTTTCCCTGTTAAAGGGGTTTTTTTTGGGGAGTGTTTCCTTATCCGCTGTGAGGGTCCAAAGGACAGAGGGATGTCGTATGCTGTAAAGCCCTGTGAGGCAAATTGTGATTTGTGATATTGGGCTTTATAAATAAAATTGATTGATGATTGAATTGAAGTTAATGACAGCGACTTGAAGTGAGGAGGAACAACACGTCTCCGACTTGTCAGCGCAGCGGCGTCGGTACCAACACCGCTGCGCTGACAAGCCGGAGAAGCTCACTTTTGCATGTGATGCAAAATATTAAAATAACGTAGTAGTGATCGACGTAAGACATGTACCAAGGTCGTAACCCCCCATGTGCTAAGGACATAACATTCTAGAGCAATGACAATCCACAATATGAAATTTAGAGGCAATTGCACAGCCCTAGTGCCAAATTTGAAGAAATTCCCTCAAGATGTTCTTGAGATACCAGGTTCAGGAAAATGGGATGGATGCAAGGTCACAGTGAACCTGGCCCTTGACCAGCAAAATCTAATATGTTCATCCTTGAGTCCAAGTGAATGTTAGTGCCAAATTTGGAAAAAAGGCATTCTTGACATATGATGCTCAAGAGAATGAAACAGATAAGGTCACAGTGACTTTGACCTACGACTACTAAAAACTAAAGCAGTTCGTCACAGAGTCAATGAGTTTTTTGTTTTTTTTTTAAATATCATGTTCACATGGACAAACAGATAGATGGACACCTGAAAACATAATGCCTACAGCCACAGCTATTGCTGGTGGTGAGGCATAAGAAAACTTTTACAATCAAACATAATTCCAGCTAGTTGGCAAACATGGAGAGAAAAGTAATGTAAGGAGAAAATGAATAAACATTTTTGATGGTAAACAAAACACACATAATTTAGGGTACGTTACATCAATAACTACAAAAAAATAAATTCGCCATTATGTGACATTACATGGATGGCTATCCTTGAAACAATTTTATTGGGCTACACACAACAAAGTATCATGACTTATACAAAAGGATTTTACTAATTTGATGGCTTTTCCAGGCCTGGAATACAAGATTGTGAACTTTTCCAGGTTTTCCATGACTGTGGGAACCTTGTTTCTTATTAAAATCAACTAATTTCAAACATTAAAACAGAGATACAATTGGGATTTTTTTTTCACCTTAATCTTTTTTTATTTTCTTTCTTCTGTGTGCTCAAATTTAACATGAAATTTCAGTTTGATTAAATAATTTCATTTTAATATTGGCAGCTGTGGTCTCCCATATTTGCCCTCTTCTCTTTGATCCACTAGTATGTTTCCTTACTACAGTTACTTAAGACATGATAAAGCAGCAACACCACTAATTATGTCAGCATAGTGGAGTCAGTGTCAAAATCACGTGGTCAATCAGGCAGAATATACAAAAGATCACTTTGTTATATTCAAAAAATGTTAAGAAAGGCATAACTGAACACTGTGATTCAAAACTGCATGTTTACACACAAATACAACTGGAATCAAAGGTCTGTGTAGATCTGCATGATCTGAGTTTAGTTTAGTTAATGGCAATATACTGAAACTGGGGACTTGTTTAAAGCCACTATACAGTCGCATGCAAAAGTTTGGGCACCCTGTTTACTGTAAATAGCTAAGAAAGTTAAAGATGATCTGATCTCCAAAAGGCATGAAGTTAAAGATGAAACATTTCGTACTTAGTAGCGCCCCTTTGGCAAGTACTGTATCACAGCTTCTAAATGTTTTTTGTAACCAGCTAAGAGTCTTTCAGTTCTTGTTTGTAAGATTTTCACCCATTCTTCCTGAAAAAGCCTTCTAGTTCTGTCAGATTCTTGGGCCATCTTGCATGCAATGCTCTTTTGAGGTCTGTCCACAGATTTTTAATGATGCTTCTGTCGGGGGACTGTGAATGCCATGGCAAAACCCTCAGCTTATGTCTCCTGAGGTAGTCAATTGTGAATCCTGAGGTTTAAAATCATTGTCCTGTTGTAGAAGCCATCCTCCCTTCATCTTCAGCTTTTTACAGATGGTGTGATGCTTGCTTCCAGAATTTGCTGGGATTTAACTGAATCCATTCTTTCCTCTACCTGAGAAATGTTCCCTGTGCCACTGGCTGCAATACAAGCCCAAAGCATGATCGATCCACCCATGTGTTTAACAGTTGGACAGATGTTTTTTTTTCCATGAAATTCTGCACCCTTTTTTAATCTAAACATTCATTCTAAACAACAACTCATTGCATCCAAAAAAATCAGTCCACAGAACTTATTTCCAAAAAGCATCAGGCGTGTTAAGATGTTCCTTTGCAAACTTCTGATGCTGAATTTTGTGAAGAGGGTGCAGGAACTGTTTTCTTCTGATGACTCTTCCATGAAGGTCATATTTGTATAGGTGTTGCTGCACAGTAGAACAGTGCACCACTCCAGGGTCTAATAAATATTCCTGCAGGTCTTTTGCAGTCAAACAGGGGTTTTGATTTGCCTTTTTAACAATCCTATCAGCAGCTCTCTCAGAAAGTTTCCTTGGTCTTCCAGACCTCAGCTTGACCTCCACAGTTCCTGTTAACTGCCATTTCTTTCAATTCAATTCAATTTCTTAATAACATTACGAACTGAGGAAACAGCTACCTGAAAACACTTTACTATCTTTTTATAGCCTTCTCCTGCTTTGTGGTTTATTTTAGTTTTCAGAGTGCCAGACAGCTGTTTAGAGGAGCCCATGGCTGCTGATTGTTGGAACAAGGTTTCAGGAGTCGTTGTATTTATAAAGCTTTGAAATTTGCATCACCTGGCCGTTCCTAATGATGATTGTGAACAAGCCATAGTCCTAACAAGCTAATTATGGTCTGAGACCTTGGCAAAAATTGTCTGAAAGCTAAAATGTCTTGGGGTGCCCAAACTTTTGCATGGTGCTCCTTTCCTTTTTTCACTCTAAAATTTTACAAAACAAAAATTAATACACTAATCTTGCTTAAAATGTTGAAAAGCATGTTTTATCTTTAACTTCATGCCTGTTAGAATGACCATAGCGGCTGGATGATGCAGTAAGACAACAGTCAAAAGGCAATTGTACGGTGCACCATATCATGGGTGTTTATTCACCAAACCAGAAAAAAAAACACATACAGCGGTACAGGCATGGCAGCATTTACAGATGGGGGACCTGACCAGCATCAAGGACAGATGGAAACTGGCGCCTTTTATACCCTATCACTGGTGCGCTTGATTGGATGCTCCCATTAACAGGTTTTTTTAACAAAATATATTATCTCATGGCTAATCACCACAGACAATATAACGAGCATACAATTACCATAATATTTACCATGACTACTGTACTGCTATTTACCCCCCAAGAATAAACACAAACCCACTACAATAAATATACATATATACACCAACTACCAAACTCCCCTCTTCCTATCCCATCACTTAGTCTCTCCCGGAACCTTTAAGTTGGTGTTCGTACCCCCGGGGACTCTTTTGTCCGAACACCCTGGAGGAGACACAGGAAGGACAGGTAAGAATCTACACAAACAACTCAAACACAGGCCGCAACTTTAACACACTAATGAACACTTTCACGTTGCAATATTAAAGCACATTTATGTTATGTCTGATGAACCAAAACTCAACAGCACTTAATTTTAACTGTTGTCTATCAATTATGAACCTTGTAGGTACACACACAGTATTGTCTACTCTAACTCCCTCCCCTCCTCAGGTGAAGCAGATCATCCACAACCGCACCTGGCAGAAGACAACACCTGTCACCAATCACTACTCATCAATTTCACCATGGTTTGAAATGTTCATCCGCATCACATATTCAATAAAGCTCATGTGCAAATATGCAATGTGCAAACTGCTCTGTGCAAATCATGCTAATAAAGTGCAACTATCACCATGAAAGTGCCATGTGCCATTATTAAAGTGCCTAATTAAGTTGTTTGTTTAAAAGTGACATTCATACACAGACCCAGTTGTGCAGTATTTACAAGGCCAAAGCCATCAGTCACTAGTAACGAAGGGCTCTTCGTTACAATGCCTTTTGGAGGTCAGTGCATCACTTAACTATTCACAGTAAATGAAATTTTGACCAGGGGTGCCCAAACTTTTGCATGCCACTCTATGTACAATTTGAAATATCCTAACTTTGGTGCCCCGAAGTGGCTGTATATAGAATGCAACTAGGGGGTACTGAGATTAATGTCCTGAAAGCAACACATTAACTGCATTACTATGACATCAGAGGAATGTAAAAGATGCTACAAACTTCTACAAACAGTAGCTTTAAAAATGTCTGACTTAAGTTTTTTTTGTATGGTTGTGCCTGACTAATCTGAATGTCTGCTGCATTCCAGATCTCAGCCAGAAGGCTAGTAAGTAAAATTAAAACAATAATGCCCAAAACTACAATAATACCAGTATTTAAAAAAATAAATAAATTTTCTTCTTAATGTCATTCACCCTGCAAAGTACAATTCAAAATCAAAGTTTGGACAGTAAGAGGTGAGAAGATAGAGTGCAATCACACCATGCTTCCATGTTAACCTCCACTAACTGCCCTCTTAGTAAACACCATTTTCTTTGTGGTCATTTCTACACATTCCCATGCTGCTGTCCAACCTTTTAACCACAGAACCATCGTCCTGCACAATCTCTTTCTCTACTACATGAGGCAGGAGCATTTTCCCAAAGCCTCCAGCATAACTCAATGCCTGGAGGGAAAAGAATGAGGGAGGAGAGAGGGATCAGAAAGAGAGGAAAGACAAACACTGGAAATCTGACGTGAAGATCATAAATGTTCAAAAAAATATATTAGCATGTATTGGAAGCACTTGTAAAAATACACTGTGATTATGGTATCACGACTAACAGCACCTCCACATTTTTTCATGTCCTCTCATGATCAAAGATAATCTCCAAAAAAATCTGCTTTTGGTAAAATCATTTTTAGTGTTTTTTGGACACACTGACCTTCTCAAAGTCCTGTCTGGCTGAGGGGAGATCTACAGCCAGTGAGGGGTCTCCCGTTTGCTTCTCCATCCTTTCACCTCTCACCACCGTTGTCTTGACAACCTTGCTGACCTTTCGGCCTTGCACTGGCTCCACTTCAAACTCTGATGCAGTGGCGGCACCCAGGGCCAGGGGCTCTGAGAAGGTCAGCTAGAGAAAAGACCACAAAATGTCCAGACACCCTCTGTTATGTACTTTGTAAAATGTACTTTTATTTTTTGTCTGGTGTTGTCATTGGGGCAACACTTTAATCGATCCAATACTTTTATGGCCAGATACCAGCAAAACGATTAACATTCCTATCAGCCTCAGGTGTGCTTTGTATAGAGTGGTGCAGGAATGAGTTCTAAATCCCGCCAAGTAAGCATTTTAGTACTGCCGGTTCCCTCTTCTTGAATCCAGTGGGTGATTTGAATGGATTTTGGTTAGATGTCTGAAATAAGGTCTGTGGTTAGCACAAGCTTAAGAGATTTCAATTCTCATTCCACAACATAAAATACATCAGTAAATACCCCACTTGTGAATACTGAAGCCTTTAGGTTTCTTTAAATGGTGGTTGCTAACAAGTGGCTAAATGAGACTACAGGACGTCATGCCGAACATGGCTCTACAGCCTTGTCGTGGTGGCAAAATTAGGTCATGCAACCGCAATGTAGTTTTGTTCATAGCCTAATGTTTTACATGCATTTATGCATTTATGCATACAAAATAAAAGTATTGCTCATTTGTGAAGATTATCTCACTAAACATAACATGTAAGTGTCATAAGATTTTGTTTGCCACAAAACTTATTTTCCGCAATAATCCCGATAGGAAAAGCCCATTGGCTTTCTGACAAGTGAACCAGGGCACTAACTTCATTTAAGCATGCTAACACACTAAACTGAGATAATGAACATGGTAAACATTCTACCTGCTAAACATCAGCATGTTAGCATTGTCAGCATTTAATGTCATGCATTGTAAGCATGCTGATGTCAGCATTTAGCGATCCCTCTTCCAGGATGGACAGACGTGCAATAGATGTCGTATAGAACAGATCAACATGATAAATTAACAGTAATCCGTATGACACAATGAGACAGAAAGAGAAAGAGAGAGAGAGAGAGAGAGAGAGAGAGATGCAGGACAGACGGTAATGACAGTAGCTTACAACAACATTAATGAAAGTAATAATATTATAATTATAATTCCGGCTATTGTGGTACAATATGTTGAAAGTATGTATTAATATCTGATAGTATACATATGTGATAGTATGCAAAAATGAGCTACTGATTTGCACACATTAAATATAACATTATTTATTCTTTGTTGAATACGGCCTTTCATTTAAAGTGAGACATTTTCTGTTAGTATCTTTGTCAGTCAGACCTGCACACATAGCTAAAAAATGTTCTCAAATCAGTGTCACATAAATTTTGCCTGTATCTGCAGCATCTAAAGAATTTTACAAAGTTAGTTTATTTAATATAAAGACAATATACTAAAAAAAGGGGACAATCTGAAATTTCCCAATGTTGGTGCCCCGACTAGCAGTATATGGAATGACACTGTGGTATCAAGCTATCCAACTGAAGGATGTTTGGTACCTTCACATGACATTAGAGAAAATTGTTATATTGTGGTAGTCTGACTAATACTGGACTTTTAAAATACATGTAAACATGTTAACTCAACTGAAATCATGCTTAATTGAATTTCTCAAAGTCGGACTAACACACCCAGATAACGTGATTGGGAGTCGAATTACTCCTGCATGTATACAGTCAATCGGACCCAAACTGGCCGAGGTGCTCTGCACATGCTCCAAAGTTTTCACCCTTGGCTTTGACCCGGAAGTCAAATATCATTAAATGACTAACAGAAGAAGAAGCTGGTAACAACATGGTGAAATCTACATCCAGAGCCATGCATTTTTGGATGGACGAACTAGTTGTCCACCATGGTACCATGGTACCATGCTTTATTTATAAAGCCCAATATCAGAAATCACAATTTGCCTAAGAGGGCTTTACAGCATACAACATCCTTCCGTCCTGTCATAGTGGAGTTGGACATACTTTGGTCAATAAATCGATTACCCGTGCTTGTATACTGGGACAAGGACAGTAGTCCAATTAAATTACTTAGTCAACCTATAACTGCAGCTTGACTTAACTGTGCATGTAAATGTATTGACTGAGATGAATGGCCTGAAAGCAACACATTAACTGCACTATATATCATCAGAGGAATTTGAAAGATGCTGCAGTTGCCAACAAATAGTTGCTTTAAGGTGATACAACCAAGGGGAAAACATTAGATTTTGGACTGTTTTGTTTTCATAACATGTCTTTATTTCAGACTAGTGGAAAGAAAACACCCAAATTACACATTAAGATGTTTATTTTAGTTAAGATTTCTGTTCTGAAAATGTATGCATAAAATGCGTATTTAATTACATAATGCCTCATTTACATATTTATACATACCATTTTAACAAATTTGTAATACAAAAAATAATTGCCTTACTGTAAGTAATCAAGTGGAGAAGTTTAATAATTATATCCATTAGTTAAATTTTTTACCCTATTCACCTGGGGTGTCTCCCCTTAATAGCAATACCTGATAATAAATATAAATCACACATCACACATCACAATATAAATCACATAATGGAAACCAATAATGTTGCTAAAGATTAAAGTGGTGCTGCTATGAAACCATATGAAAGTAGCTGGGATATAACACTGACCTCTTTTTGATCTCCCTCACTGTGAAGCACAGTTCTCTTCACCACTCTGGACACAGTGTCTCCCTCCTCGATCTGCACCGTCTCCTGGTGAGAGCCCTCAACGGTCACTTCCTGCGTCTCCATGCCATCCGCTGACACATATTTACGAATCACCTTCCGTGTGATCTGCAGGGCACAATGGCAAGTGATTAACTGTGCTGTAAAATCTTATTTTCCATCATGTAGGCCATGGACTGGTATTGTTAACTTAAGTGTAACTTTTAAAAATGTTATTTAATGTTGGTGGCATCTTTGAATGCAACCTTACTTTCTTAACTACCATGTTGCCATGCTCATCTGTGTACTTCTCCTCTGTGACGGTCTGTGGTGGCATATCTGGCAGGTTATCCGCCTGTAAAAAGACAAAAGACGTACCATCAGTTCACATGATACTGCACAGAGAGGAACAGCCAACATGTTATTTGTATCAGAGAAAGTATTTCAAGCAACATATGATGTAAGTCACTCAACACCACCGCGTCTACAGTCTATTTTAAAGCCCCTGTATGTATAATTTTGATGCAATTGTATAAACTTTCAAATCATTCTGACAGGGTAAGTTTCACGGGGGTTCTACATCAGAACAAAGAAAATAATATGGACATGGCAAAATTAAAAGTGGGTGAGTGTGCAGAATCAAATAAACAAAAATGACAAAATACCAAATAATAGATGTTGTTTAAAGGTTCTTTTACAACTTCAAAAATTTACTTTCTGTATTGCAGAATATAGCTTTTGTGCCAAGCAAATAAGGGGAGTTCTTAGTAAAATTATTGAGTTAAGTCCAGCAAAACAAAACACAACACCAAGTAGCAATAAAGCACTGCTACCCACAAACCCTGCACCACTTCACAGTGCACCAGGGCTACACAGCTGCATCATGTTTGTTTACCTGAATGATAACTCTGCGTCGGACCACCCTGGTGGTCAGCACCTCCTCCTCTGAGCTATCAGTAGACAGACACCCTAGCTCCTCTGCTATCTCCTGGGAGACAACCAGCATGGGTCAGTGTATCAGGTCTAAATAGCAGCTGTTCATTCTTTTCTCTGAATCTTGCTTTTATGTTTGCTTGCCGAAAAGGTTCATGTACAGGAATGAGGGAATAAAATCAAAAGAAATAGATGGCATGACACAACAGTGATGTGCAATAAAGAAAAGGCACAGTAATACAAAAACTTTCAACTGAAATAAATGTGCCAGGATGGGAACCAGTGTGCAAAATACAGGGAAACTCAGACCCCCTGATTGACACCTGAAATCCCCCAGAAAATGTCCAAATCAAATCTTTGGAGCGTCTCAGAAATTAAGATCTATATTGTGAGGTTTGTTTGCATTTTGCATAACAGCAGCACAGAAATCAGTTCTAATCAGTCCATTCTTGAGTCCAAGTGAACATTTGTGCCAAATTTGAAAAAAAAAACAAAAAAAAAACAAAAACAGGGTGATACAGACAAGATCACAGTGACCTTAACCTTTGACCACCAAAATCTAAGCAGGTCATTGTTAAGTCTACATAAACATTTGTGCCAAATTTTACAAAAAAAAAAAAGAAAAAGGAAAATTCCCTGAAGGCATTCTTGAGATATTGCAAAACTGTACCTCAATGCCAACCTCTATGTAGTTAGCCATTTCGCTCATTCTAGGGTACTACTTTTTGTTTAACTCATGGTCAGAGAAGCACTTAAAGTGATTTATGTAAATATAATTTTGAAAGCTGTGTAAGGCTCGCGCATACTTTTTTTTGTTGTTTTTTTGTTTGAGTCCTCATTTCAAATGCAAAGTTTAGAACCGCCGATAGAGTTACAATGAGAACATTCATTGAAGATACGCCAGGTTGAAATATACCGTAATTTTCCTTTAATGTGTGGCTGAAGTTTGCCTATTTTTCAAGTACCACACACAGCACAGGACAGGAGGATTTAATATTTTGCACACTGATAGGAACAACAAGCAGAAATCAAAGGATGCAAACAAGTGCAGGTGTGAACAAAGAGTTATATATTAAAGAATCCGTTATTTACAGAAGCTTGTAAATGTCACAAATGCTGACTTCAAAATGTTGAACTGCAAAAAACATCAAAAAACATCACACCACCAATGTCAATGGCTTTGTCAGCCACTGATGACACAATTACTACAACTATTTAATACAGCATCAAAGTTGTTACATTTTTGTTATTTCTTTAAAGTTCAGGCACTCATGCACACAAAAGCACTCGTCAGCCCCATTTAGGTAAAGTGCAAACTTGTGTATTTTATCTTCTGGGTCTTGAAAGCAGCACCACAGCAACCAGTCTGGCCAGGCAACAAAAAAGCCAGTGCAGTACTGCGCTCATGCTCAACCCCTTACCCTTCCCAGGAAGTCATCATCATCGTAATACCCTGCCTGATCTCTGGAAGGAAGCTCCTCACACACAGGGAGGTCGCCCTCTGTTCGCCCTTCTGAATCATAAGCAAATTCACTCAGACATTCACTGCCAGAAGAGAACCGCTTGTAATCTTCCACTTGGAGAAAAGGCTGAGCAGTGTACTGAGGGCTCCTTTTCAGGAAGCCAACACTGGGGCTACTCCCAGGCAGTGGGGACGGAGGTTCAGAGATATGATAAATCTCATGTTTCAGTTTAACTTCTTCTGGTTCAGAGAAGTCAGAGAGGGCTTGTCTGCAGTCGAAGAATTCCACATCTGAGTCAGAGTGCTGTGGAGTTTCAGATCCCTTACGGAGCTCCTTTGGTAGGACCTTTGGATCCTCTGAATCAAATTCAGAGACTGTTTTCTGAAATTCTGAGAGGACTCTGTTAAAGTCTGGGGAGAACTGGAAATCTTCAGCATTTTCAGACTCTCCCTTGGTAGTGGCTTCAGTCACAACCTGAGATGAAATTGAGTCACTGAACACTGGAGACACTGGACTTGAATCATCCAGGGAGGCTTGGCTAAATTCAGAAACTCTCAGGGTTTGGTGTCCTGAAAATACTGCTTCATAATCTGGTGGTACCAAAAACTGAGTTGACATGGGTGAAAAAAGCTCACTGGACTGTGCCTTCTCAGGGGACAACTTCCACTCTGACTGTCCATGTGAACTGTCCAACCTTAAACACAATGTACTTTCGGGTGCAGGTAGAACTGGAGTAACAGTTCTGTGGGTTGTGTATGAGTTCTGGTCAGGCAGTTTTAGGGGAATTGATTTCATTGTCTTGTCATGAGTAAACACTGCACCTATTTTATTGGTGTCTTGTGTCACTGCTGAAGCAGACAATGGCTCTGTTTGAAACTGAGTGTCCTCTGGTGTCTGTGGAGGAGCCTGTAAGTGAATATCAACATGATCTAAATAAGTTTACAAAAAAAAGAGAAACAAATCAACATACAGGTTGGTATGCACCCATAAATTACCTCAACAGTTCACCAGGTTAGTATCACTGTGCGATGATTTGTTTTCCATACAGCCAACATCTGATCAGGTTTAGAACATTATATGTGAAGCCATGACATGCAGGTTTAAAGAGATACTTCACCCACAAAATCACCATCTGTGTATCAATTACTCACTGTGTTACCTCGAATTTGTGAAGAAAACTTTGTTTTTCTTGCATGCTACCACTGTCAACAGAGAATCCATAAAAGGTGAACATCCTTCATGTATTAAAGTAAAAAGGGGGCCAACACACAACTGGTAAACCCAGTCTCGATCCGAAGTCACTGAATAATGGTGTTTGGTCAGTGACTACTGGAGTCAGATACAGACAAAAAACCCGTGCTTTCATGTTGGCATAATACACGTACAGGAAGGAAATGCAGCCAGACAACAACGTAAGTTAAAGGGGCGGAAATCCGAGTCGGGAGGGCAGGCAGGTGGGTCCAACAACCACTTGCTTTCAACCAGGAGGTTCATTTTCCATATGAATGTAAAGCCAAACCCGCTTCTTTTTTCCTAAACCCAACCTTGTGCTTTTGTTGCCTAAACCCAACCAAAAACGTACATGTTTGCTGTTATACCAAGGTAGTGCATTTGTTTTGAAAGAGACTGTATGCACACTGTACATTTCCTGTGAAAATGGAAGTGTATTTTTAAAACAGACAATGCATGTAATAGGCTAAAGTTGACACGGCGTCCCAAAACATCAACAACCATCACACCCAGGGTACCCAGGGACGTGGAAAGTCCATGACCAAACTTCGATATGTGACGAGGTCAAATTGAGAATGTGTTGAACTGGTACAGTATAATCCAAATCTCATTTATCCAGTCAAATTGTAAGTACTTCCCAAACATATGCTTTTTCACTAAAACGTTATGAGTATTTCGTCATGGCACTTCAGGGCGCTCAACTCGTCCCTGCATGAGACTTTTTGTATATAAGTACTTTAAATCACAACATTTTAGTGAAAATACCAACCTGGTCTCACTCTGAAGTTGTCGAAATCCTGCACTTGTTCAGTGACTTTCGCCATCAGACACTGACAAAAAAAGCTGTCCTTTCACATCCGCATGATACATGGCCGGTCGCCATTTCTTGCAGTATAATCAGAGTCTCATTTATCCAGTCATATGCTCAGTACTTTCCAAACACATGCTTCTTCACTAAAACATTATGATATAAAACATTTCCTCATGGTACTTCAGGGTGCACAACATGTCCCTGCATGAGACTCTTTGTATGTGAGTGTTTTAAATCATAGGGATTTAGTGAAAATACATGTGTTTGGAAAGTACTGAGCTTCTTATACAGCATTGTTGTGTGACAGTTTGTAAACCAGTGTTTTAATACAGCCTGGGTTTTGTTAAATGTGCGTCCTGATTACTTCAATTCATGAAGAATGTTCGCCTTTTTTGGATTCTTAGTTCACTGTGGAAGCGTTACAGAAAACCTACGTTTTCTCCACAAATTCAAGGTAACACACACGGTGAGTAATGATATACAAATGATCATTTTGCCAGTGAAGTATTACTTATAAAGGAGCTTAGCATCAGACAACTAAATAAGAACTGAAAGAAGAGCAATAAGTATTTTAATAATGATACATTCCAGACAAATTCCGGACACACTTGATGCATTAACTGCACTCCACTTTGTAATTGGTTCATCAAGGCAGTTATTTCTTCATCCAAGTGACATTAGTGAATTTGTCCAAAACCAAAGTGAGTCTTTGCTTGATTGCCATGCTCTCAGTCTTACCCTTTGTGAGGCTGTCTTGTTCTTTAACTCTCCGGCACTGACTTGTAGGATGTTCTTCACAAGAGAGTCTTTTTGGATGTCTTCCTCACAAACCGTGGCGTGTAAAGTTATAATATTTTCAGCTTCTGATCCTTGCTGCATCCATTTGTATGTATCTGTCATTTGTTGACAGTCAGGACTGACATGTCCTTTCTTAGGCTTTGTCTCACTAGTTTGAATTAGTGATGGTGAAACAGCCAATGGCCCTTTGTTAGGTAATGGTAAAGACTGACCAGGTAATAAAGGAGATGTCACATGACTCAAATGTTCTTGTTTAGTGACGAACCTATCGGTATCCTCACAACAAAATAATTCCTCCTCTGACTCAACAGTTTGAGGGCTCAGTGGCCTTGGGCTATCATCAATCCAACAATCAATGGGTAAAGCAATAAACTCAGAGTCTGATGAGAAAGACACTGGTGAAGATGATCTATCAATGTAGGTAGGATACATAAAGTAAGAAGACAATATTCTCATAAAATCAGGAACTGGTGAGTCAGGCAATTGTCGTCTGAACTCACTGATAGATGATATGGATTCACGTGAGGATGGTCTGTCAGTCTCAGCGTCTCTTGACGATGTGACCATGAGCTCGCACTCTGAATCTGAACCCATTGATTCAGCTGATGATGAGCCATGTGTAGCAGTGTACTCCAATGACACTGTAAACTGAGGGATAGGAGAGTCTGGAGACAGTGACCTGTTCTCATTAAACTCAGGCATCGATTCTGGAGATGATGCTCTTTTGTCAGCCATTTGCATGGCTGATTCAAG